TATTTCTAAAGACACTGCAAATGGATTTTGAGATTGCCAGTGACCCGCATACGCTCAGCTTCCCAGCAGCAGCCATCTACCTGTCTGCCAGCCTACTTGTGAATCACCTGGGTCTTGCTGGCTTCTCTGTTGACTTTGTTTATTGGACACTTGCGGGACGTTATAAGGTGGTCCTCACTTAATGATCTTCAATCCTCATTTCAGACCAACAACTAAAATGCCAGAATTACTGTTGCTAAGTAATGCAGTAATGAGATATCCCACTTTACACGGTGCATCGCTAAACAATGGAAATTCTTCCAATTTCCATTGTTAAGCAAGGGCTACCAGTAGATGTATAACCAACAAACAATGTGGCTTTTCTTTTTTCAGATAATTTCTCTGAGAATGGATGCTTTCCCATTGTACTGCTCAGTTCCTCCAGCTATTGTAAATCTTGGCACAGATAACGATTTGGATTCCTTCTACTCAATATATGTGTAATGTTTGATTTACTGCAGTGAGAACTGTTATTCAAAAAGCTTTTGAATTAAATTAATTAATTTTAAGTCCATCTTGGGCTCCCGGAAAAGGTTTTCTAGCCATCAAGCGTTTGCATCGTATTAACACACATGACCTTGCACTAGGAATCTGTGGCCTCACTTCTGCGTAAGAGATCCCTAAGCAAGGAGATCCTTCCGACTATTCTTGAAAGGACAGATGTTCCAAACAACAACCCCAAATGAGAAATCCATGTATTGCGCACATCAGTCCTAAGGGGAGTTCCAAAATACAAAATATTAGTCTCTCGAGGGATCTTTCTACAGCCGCTACACCCTTATGTTTGTCTTGCTTCCCATTTGGTTGCTGTTGACTTCTTCATTCCTTTGTGAAAATTAAGATCAGCTGTGGAGACCTAGCCCAGAACTTGTTCCATGGAAATAATTGCTGGCCACGCCTCATAATGCAACAAAGCTCAGCTATCCACATTGTAATAATAGGTTATGAAAAACTAAATTCTTGCTTATAATTTTACCCTTTCTGTTGTGCCTATGTAGTATTAAAGACAGTGTGATAGTTTGGTATTTTTATTTTAGCATTTCCTTTTTGTTGGTAAATTGTATGGAAAACAAACCAGTCCTTCCTTTTATGTTAATACAATGATTTTTCTGTGTTTCTAATATTTTCCCACGAATTCAGATTCAGACTCCAATTCTGGCAGTGCTCCAACTCTGTGTGTTGTTAGCCTCGGGAATCTTCAAACCATGATTCATCTGAGGAGGCTGATCAATCAGGCATCTCCTGGTCACCTAGAGCAGACAGATGTGATGAGGCATGATTCTCAAACCTCAAGTCTGAATGCATTCAATGGCAAGCACAGCAGCGCCATTCACTGAGTTTCCTCTCTAGACAAAGGGTGAATTCTCAAAAATTGTAAAGAATAATTTTAATGAAGGCAAATAATACGTGTCCTAGAGAGAAATTCCCTGAAGATGGGCTCCATCATGAGTCCAAAAGCTCTGGTCCCAGTGACTGACCAAATTGGATCCTACAATAATTTTCATTATTAAAATTAAATGTGCAGGTTTCATTAAATAAAAAATAAATAAAACTATATTGCCAAGCTCTATAAAGTATATTCATTAGCATCAAGATAAGTTACCAATTTTAAAAGGGACGCCAACCTCATGGAACAGCATGAAGTTTTAGAATGGCCAGAAGTGCTTTACTTTCTGAAACTTCATATTTTTGAATAATCATTAAATGACCAGTTGTAAATCAAATGAAGGTAAAGATTCCCCTGCTTATATATGCTAGTCATTCCCGACTCTAGGGGACGGTGCTCATCTCCATTTTAAAGCCGAAGAGCCAGCACTGTCCAAAGACGTCTCCGTGGTCATGTGGCTGGCATGACTAAACGCCGAAGGCTCACGGAACACTGTTACCTTCCCACCAAAGGTGGTTCCTATTTTTCTATTTGCATTTTTATGTGCTTTCGAACTGCTAGGTTGGCAGAAGCTATGACAAATAACGGGAGCTGACTCCATTACGCATCGCTAGGGATTCGAACTGCCAAACTGCCGCCTTTTTGATCGACAAGCTCAGCATCTTAGCCACTGAGCCACCACGTCCCTTTTTGTAAATTGAGTACAATGTAATAATTGTATAATATAATAATTGACTTTTAACCAGTGCTATCTATATATAAAGGACTGAAAAAGCTGCCTTTTAAATTCTGAGAGATGCTGCAATCTTTCAGTTCAAACAGCACCTTTTCTTTAGTTTTTCCTTGGATTAAAAGGTTGTGATGCTCCTTAGACTCCTCTATATGTTACACAATTCAGCCACGTATGCAAACCACTACACAGACACGCAAGTAAGGTTTCAACAATCAAACAATACTTGCAAGAATTGTTTGCACTTATCCTTTCTCCACTCCTCCACTGTGTGATTTAAGAAAGTGAGATCCATGATGGCACCTAATTATCCATCTCTAATAGCACATATGTGAATAGCACATTTTTTCCTGGGATTGCAGCCTGAGGGAGGAAGTAAAGGTTTCTGCGCAACTCCCCTAATCAGAGAATCTGGGAATTGTCCACAGATCAGGCTTTCTCAACCTTAGCTATTTTTAAAACATGTGGATTTCAACTCCCAAAGTTGAGAAACACTGATCTAGATCAGCGGTCACCAACTGATCGTCCATGGGCCACTAGTGGTCCATAAGAAAAGCTTGGTAAGCTGCAGAAAAATGGTGGCTGGAGCTGGAGGGCCTTGTTCCAGTGGGACTGCATCATGGCCTAGAACTGATCCATCTCCGTCCGCTGAGCTTCCAGCTGCCGGTACCTGGCCTTGCACTCCCGCAGGTCTTCCCTCTGCTTGGAAAGCCTATGCCCGCAGTCCTCAGTGAGGTGCTTCTACTGAGCCTCCTTCTCGGTCAGATCCAATTTGAACTGGGCTGTTGGGTGGCTACTTAGCTCCAACAACTCCTTCCTGTTGGGCCCCTAAGGTGAGGAGTGGCTGGGAGGGGAAGGGTGAGTAGAGGCTGGCGAGGTGCCCCTTGACATGAGTGACATCGAGTGGCCACACCCACCCAGTCACACGACCACCTAGCCACACCCACCTAGCGGTTATTAGGTAGATCATATTAGTGGTCCACTTGATTTAAAATTATTAATTTAGTGGTTCCTGAGATCTGAAAGGTTGGGGACCCCTGGTCTAGATGACTCCAAATTGGGGGACGCTGGCGCGCATAATGTGCTGTCTCTTCTAGTGAGAGCGACAGAACAGCTCGATATAAAATGGATAGTTGTGAGCTTGAATAGGATTTCTAAGGATGTGCTACTTGTAAACGAATGAGGTACATCACTGAATAAGCCTAGAAGAATGCACGCTTCTCTTAACAGTCTCTTCTTAGTAGCCATGAAGGTTTCCTCTGAAATTTATCCATGCTGACGCTAGAAGGAGCTACATTACCACACATCCTTCCCACGTTTTTCGCGCAGACTATGAAATATGAATGTTTATGCATTTGTGGCTTGACAGTCCTGGGCCACATTCTGAAAGCATCCCCGTCTGTGGACCAAAACTGAAAACACTAACTAGGAAAACGTTCCTTTGCTTCCTTTCAGGAATATCGAGCACATTATGCGCCCCAGCGTTTCCCAATCTGGAGCCATCTAGACCGCGGTTTCTCAACTTTGGGAATTAAAAGTCCCCATGTCCTAAAAGTTGCCAAGGCTGAGAAAGCCTGATCTGTGGACGATTTCCAAATTCTCTGATTAAGGGAGTTGCATTCCGGTACAACGGAAGGGTGCCGGGGTTGGGGAAGCAAACGTCAGGTAGGTGCTAAAGGAAAAAGACGGTCTTGTACAAGGAATCTTCTTTGTTTGGGACACGATCGCCCCTTGTCTTCCCACACACGTAACGGTGCGGGAGCAGCGAGAGAAAAAAAACTCGTCTGAGACAGTTTCGGATTTGCACTTAAAAGCTGAATCGGCCTCTACAAAGATCGCCTTTTTTGTAAGCTTAGGACGCCGGCCAACAAGATCCGGTTTCTTAGCCTGAGGCTCACCGCAGCGGAAGCTCCGCTACCTGGGCCGTTTTTAAAAAAAAAGCAGCGTTGTTTCACAGTGCTACCGACCGCAGACGGCTGCAATGATGGGGCCTCAGGGGAACTGACGCTTCGCTTGCGAACTGTCCTCCACAGGTTCCAAAGGAAGCTGTCTCCGCCACCCGCCAGCTTTTGTCACTGGAGAAGAACCCTGAGGACTAGCGGCTTGGAAAATGGAATTGTAGACCTCTCCTAACTTTAGACAGAGTTTAACATAATGGCAGAGTTGGAAGGGACCTTGGAGGTCTTGTAGCCCAACCCTGCCGCGCCCTCTCGGAGTTTTCCTTCTTCCCGAGGGGAAAAGCCTTCCTGGCAGGAATAGGCCGAGTGGGGGGGGGGGAGCCAGCTTGGCTGATAGAAAACAGCCCCGATAATGTCTCCTATACCTATATTGGGGAAGCGTCCAGACAGAGGTCAGAGCTTTTGTCACTAGATAAGAACCCTGAGGACTAGCGGCTTGGAAAATGGAATTGTAGACCTCTCCTAACTTCAGACAGAGTTTAACAGAATGACAGAGTTGGAAGGTACCTTGGAGGTCCTGTAGCCCAACCCCGCCGCTCCCTCTCGGAGTTTTCCTTCTTCCCGAGGGGAAAAGCCTTCCTGGGAGGAATGGGCCGAGTGGAGGGGGAAAGCAAGCTTGGCTGATACAAAACAGCCACGATAATGTCTCCTATACCTGTATTGGGGAAGCGTCCAGACAGAGGTCAGAGCTGGAAGCCCGACTATTAGCAGCGCTTCCCAGGCAGAAAGGTAAGTTTTTCTGGGCGGTGGGCATGGAGCTGCGAGCCGAGGGGGCGTGGCCTCCCGGAGACGGGGCGTGGCCCGAGCGGCGCTGTCTTTGCAACCGGAGGCTTGACTCGCCGAGAGAAGGCGGAGGGGCGTGTCTCCCATCGAATCCCGGAGTCCAGACACAGCATCGTGTGGCGCGGCCGCCCGTCTGCCTCTCCTTTCCGCCGCTCTCCCAACCATGACCCTGCGAAGACTCCGGCGCCTCCGGCCCGGACAACCGGCCCAAGAAACGGCGGCCAGCGTGGCCGGCCCGGAAGCTCACGGGGGCCGAGGGTCGGAGCTGGAAAAGGCGCTGGCGGCCTCGGGGGGCACCTTGCCCCGAGCTAGGAGGGTAAGTGGAAGAGGGGACGCCGCCCCTGCCGGAGGGGGACACGGCGGCAAGAACCCGAGCGTTGCACACGCGCGATCCTCCTAACCCGGCGCCGGCTCTCCTCGGCCAGTCTCCCCCCCCCCCCACACACACACACACACTCACACCCCTTCCAGTCCTGGGTGTGTCTCGTTGCGGACCCGATTAACGCCTATTTGCCATTGCCTTTCCTACCCGTCTTCTCCCGAGAGGCGAAGAGCCCCAAGGACTGGGAATTAGGGAGGAGACCCCCCCCCCGACCCCCTCGGGCTTTCGCTGCCCCGTTCTGCGAGGAGGGGCTGCCTTTTCCCCGTTCATTCTCCGCGAAGGCATCGTCTCTCCCCCCCCCCCCCACGTCCCCTCCGCGACCTGCCTGGGGTCAACACGGTCCTCCTCCCATCACCCAAAAGTGCTTTTTTCCCCCCAAGAGGCAACTGGACTTTCTGGTTTTTCTTTGAAGACGTTTCGCTTCCCATCCAAGAAGCTTCTTCAGCGTCTTCAAAGAAAACCCAGAGAAGTCCAGTTGCTTCTTTGAGAGAGAGATAGAGAGAAAAGCACCTTTGGGACCACCCTGATTTTGGATAGACAATCACCTGCGGTACTTCTCGATGCGGGAGGCACACTTCTCCCTGCCTTGAAGGGTCCGCGTGGGAGAAAGAGGGAGCCGAGAGGAGGAAGATTCACAGGCACTTTGGGGTCCGTTTGCAAGACTGATCTGACTAGGTGGCTCAGTGGCTGAGACACTGAGTTTGTCGATCAGAAAGGTCGGCAGTTCGAATCCCTAGTACAGGTCTCCTGCGTGAGGGGTGGTGGTGGTGGACAAGATAACCTCCAAGGTCCCTTCCAACTCTGTTACTGTTTACTCATCTTAGCCTCCTGCTGCCATCCCGACCGACGACAAAACGTAATGCCTGCCTCGGGTGAGGAGGGTGGAAAGAAGCCAGAGCCACCAGAAATTCCTTGTAGTGGAGAGCTCTCCAACCTTGGTAATTTTAAGACTTGTAGACTTCAACTCTCAGAATTGGCTGGCTGGGGAGTTGAAGTCCACAAGTCTTAAAAGTTGCCAAGGTTGGTGACCTCTATTATAGTGGACCTGTTAGTCCTGGGATTGAGCAACTGTCCTGGATTTGCTTGAAGAAGCTAGTGGGCAAGTCTCCTGGGTGGGCTAATGCCTCTTCTTGATTGTTACCATTTAGTATCTGGAGGCAATTTAAACTTGTAATTGACTGATGGCTTCCAGTCCATGAAAGCAGTACTGTAAATAAAAATTAATGGGTGGCAAACCATTTTGGGGACTGGAATCTACCAAGTGAGGGGGAGGAGAGGCTTCTGTGAGATACTTTTTTTTGTGGGGGGGGCTGCTCTTTGGCCCTGCTAGTTGCATTTGCAGCTGACTTTCTAGATGGAAAGGCATCACATCTATGAACTCACTGAATTTGTTGTTTTACATCGCAAAAATGTGTGGGCTTATGTCTCACAAAGCACGTTCAGTGAGAAAATTTACCTGACTGTATATCCTACTGGACGTGGTTTGAATATATTTGAATAAGTATACACTATGCTCTTTTTTTGAGATACAAATGTAAAAACATGACTGTCTACATTCAAAGAGGTTGTGGTGTTCAGATGTTTCATTGTTTGCATGGGTTTCTTGCTCTCTGGAGGGAATCGTTAGGAAGGCAATATGGTGAAGAAGAAAGAAAAATGTCCATCTGTTCAACATCTCAAATTCTGTGGTTACTGTCCCCCTCCTAGTTACAGAATCCATTTTAATTTTTTTTTTCCGTTGAGCTCTGATTAATTCGGCACAAAGCAAAAAGTCTCAGAATTCAAGAATGCTCGGTGGAGGGAGTGAACTGAGCTCCCAAACCTTCCACCCCAAAATTGATTTCTGATAACTCCTGACTTTTCAGACTCATTTACTGAGGAGAAGAAGTACTGTAATTCATTTTGCAACTGGAGCCAACTCAGCTCAGCCAGTGAGCTATTCACTCATTTGAATTTGAATTTGAATTTACTTTATTTGTATGCCGCCCTTTTCCCTGAAGGGACTCAGGGCGGCTCACAAGTCAAGGGAGGGGGAAACAAACAAAGTTACAAAATATAAAGACCATCACACAGTTAAAAAACACAACAATCATACCATTCGAAGTGGGGCTGCAGTCTTTAGCCCCAGGCCTGTCGGAACAGCCAGGTTTTAAGGGCTATGTGGAAGGCCTGGAGGGTGGTGAGGGTACGAATCTCCACGGGGAGTTCGTTCCACAGGGTTGGAGCAGCCACAGAGAAGGCCCTCCTCCAGGTAGTCGCCAGTCGACACTGGGCGGCTGATGGAAACTCATGCAAACTAATCTTTATCTATTGCTAGGTTAGGTTATAGCTGATTTTTTTTTTTTGAAACTTCTAAGTGCGTAGGAAGAAAAGAAACAAAAAAACCTCCTTAAAATCATCCCCTTCTCCAAACCTTCCTAGTGTTCTCTTGGCGAGTTAGACTGTATGTAGCTTCCATAATTCACAGCTAGCAAGGTGGAAATGTAAGTGTCGGGATGGTGTGCTATTGGGAATTTGAAATTGAAAAAAATACGGTGCTGTTTTCTTGGGTGGGGGTTTATGAAACAAGTTTTATATCTAAATTTGTTTCTGAGATGTTATGTTGGCAATTCTCACCGTAATTTGAGGGGAAGGGTGTTGGAATACTTCTGGACTCACTATTAAGCGACTACGGTTTACTTTCTTAGTGCTCCTTTTAACAAATTTGTATGTGTCACAGTTACTGCTACAGATACTGTTGCCTCCAGTTCATCGTTTTATGGCTGTGGTGACTGTGGTTTAAATGGGGAATTAATTTATGTGGTCTTCTCTATTTTTTTTATTGTGAAAGAGGGGATAATGGCACAACAGCCCTTCTTTGTCTCAACAAAGGGCAAGATCAGAAAGCTTACAGGAAGCTATTCAGAAAAGCCAAGAACCTTTGCTGGACCTATTCAAAATGAATCAAACCTAACAGGGATATATGTGTCATTTATATATCATGAAAGTATCCTAAAAACACACCGAAACCTTTTTTTTTGGCACTCACAGATGCTTTCATCTATATCAGGAGTCTCCAAACTTGGCAATTTTAAGACTTGTGGACTACAACTCCCAGATTTCCCCAGCCAGCATAGCTGAGTAAGGAATTCTGGGAGTTGAAGTCCACAGGTCTTAAAGTTGCCAATTTTGAAAACCCCTGATCTATATGTTTGAGCAAAAATCCCACCGCCCCACCCCCTGCTTATCCTGCCTAAAGCAAAGTCAAATGCAATGCAGGTAATCCTCAATTTACAACACTTCATTTAGTGATCGTTCAAAGTTACAACAGCACTAAAAAAAAAGGGACTTATGAGTCATGACCGTTTTTCACAGTTACGACCTTTGAAGTCACGTGATCAAAATTCAGATGCTTGGCAACTGGTTCATGTTTATGACCGTTGCTGTGTCGCGGGTCATGTCATCCCCTTTTGCGACCTTCTGACAAGCAAAGTCAATGGGGAAGCCAGATTCGCTTACCAACCGGGTTACTCGCCTATCAACTGCAGTGATTCGCTTAACAACTGTGGCAAGAAAAGTTGCAAAATGAGGCAATATTCACTTAACAAAGGTCTCAATCAACAACAGAAATGTTGGGCTCAATTGTGGTCGTAAGTCAAGGACTACCTGTATGTTGGGGAGGGGGCACTTTAAAAAAAAGATTGTATTTGTCATTTAAAAACTTCAAATTGCATTCCAGAAACCAGCTTTGGAGTATCAAACCCTGAGCTGCATTTGAAACAACTGTTAGAAGGAAACAGGGACTCATTTCCTGTAAGGCCCTTCGTGTCCCATAATAGCGTCCTGTGGTTATGGCTGCTTGCTACTGTGTGCAGATGCAACAGCTGTTAAAAGAAACTCGGTCTGCTGTGACTTCTGTGGTTTCCCCCCTGACAGGCAGTCGGCTTAGTGGGTTCTAGACTTTACTAATTGTCCTCTGAATGGAAAGAGAGAGGCGGCACACTGCCGCACGGGGGTGAAAACTGTGCTAAAGCACCTTGACATCACTTTTGTCCAGAACAGAAGTGACGTAACTGGGAAGAAACAATTACGGGAAAGAGGGAGGAGGCATGGACTGTATGAGCCCACATGGAATGGCTTAGAGCCTAATTTTCAGTGTTCTGTTTCTCCCACCCTCCCTCCCCTCAACCTCCCTGCTGGTTTGAGGTTAGCAGCAATATTTTGATTTCTGTTTCCTGCGCTCATTGCCAAGCATGGGAGTTCCCAAACAAGAAACACTGACAGTAATCGTATTGCTTTCGGGGATGGCTTTTACCTCCAGCTATGCTATATTCTAGCCGTGGTGGCACAGTGGTTAGAATGCAGTATTGCAGGTGAATTCTGCCAATTGCCAGGAGTTCGATCCTGACCGGCTCAAGGTTGACTCAATCTTTCATCCTTCCAAGATCGGTAAAATGTGGAAGCAGATTGCTGGGGGGCAATAGGCTGACTGTGTAAAATGCTTCGACAGGGCTGTATAGGTCTAAGCGCTATTTCTATTGTTATGTTTGTGCTGTCGTTGTGTAGCTTTGAGCCTAGGTCCCTCTTTCATAGGAAACTCTGTGGTTTATGCTTAGGGGAAGGTTCATTTCCCAATGCTTGGTTTTGCCCTGAAATGCAATGAGGTTTTCAGAAGGCAAACCTTTGTTACTGCTTAGCTCCCCAAGTAATTTTGGCCTGATTGCTGTCTGAGAACTTCTTTTTAATATTTTTTATTAGAATTTTATAGTGCAATAAAAGCATAAAGTGAAAAAAAAAGGGGGGGGGACAAAAATTTGGATTTTTGTTTAAGAACTTCTGAAATAGAGTATTTATTGAAAAAAAGGTAAATGTGGAACATAACATGTCACTTTAAGAAGGATAATTCAGATATTAAAGAGTAGGATAAGGAGACAGGTGCTAAACCAGTTTGTTTC